AAAAAAATGATATCAAACGAAAGGGAAATGTCTAAGGTTTTAGTATAAAAAAAAATTATGTTGATTTGTTGATTTTTGAAAAAGTTATGGAAGTTTTAAGAAAAAAAAGTGAAAAAAATGACAAAATTTACCGATTTTTAAATTTGTAATTTTTTTGGATATTTCCCCCATTTACGGGGAACGAGGGAAAATTTTTCAATTTTTAAGGGTAATGTCTCCAACTAGATACGATTTGTGATCTTTTGACGTATTGTTGAAAGAAATCGGTCCAGTGAGAGCTGAGAAAAAGTGGCAACAGATATAAAAAAAAAAAACACATCATAGTAAAATTAATACCTTCCCAGCTTCGCATCGAAGCTAAAAATATAATTATAATATAAAAATATTTAATTTACATTAATATCTATGTATATACAGAGCAACTTGCTGGATTGTCGCGTAATTTATGTTTAATTTATCGGATATCGAAGTGTAATCAATTTCAAAATGTTGGCCTAAGAAACGATTCCATTTTATTAGTTTATATAGGCAAATTAGTAAAATACGGTGGGACACGTGTATATACTAAATCGATTTCTTAATGCATGTAATCTTACACAATTATAGAAATCAATAATGTTTTCAAAATACTTAAGTTTGTTTTTTAACAAGATTAATTTACTATGTAATTCAACACTACCCACGAATTTCATCGACGAATAGATATAGATTCTTAAAATTGATCGCAATTTACAAATGGAAGATTGAATGCAAAGAAATGTTTTATATAACGACAACAAACATTGGACTGGTTTAAAATTAGGAACGACCTTTCTCCACGCGTTTGTTCCATTTATACTTCATTTAATTGTCTATATTTTGATAGCTACTACGTAATACGCACAACCTCCAAGTTCAGTTGCATCTCTAATTTTTTTTTTTTTTAATTTTTATCTAACAAGCACGTTTGCTATCTTCTAAGTGTGGGTTTAATTTTTTTTATAAGTACAGCATCATGTTGAAATTATAATCCGTAACAACTTTAGATAATTGGGCTGATTATGTTTTCCATCATAAATTTAGCAAAACTAAATATCCGTTCAGAAATAATGTGAAATGTATTTGTGTCTCGTGATATAATACCATTGCAAGATAATAGTCATTAATCTTAAACACAGTGGAGTGTACATGAAATGGACATAGATTAGGTGCATAAGAAGCTCATTAGAGTGCTGAGAAGACATGTAATTTTAAAAGGTGTATTACAAAGAGTTCGGAAGAAAGTGGAGTGCTTATTGCGTTTTGGCGACGGATAGTGAACAGTTCTGTTGAGCACTTGATATAATATCTCATTATACAAACGATCTAAAGGAAGTAATGGTGTAATTAATGACCGGACATAAATAAAAGCGATTGGACGGATATCATTCAAATAAGAGAGTAGCTACTTTTGTATAAGCCGTTAATGCAATCGACATGCGTGTTTTAACAGACAAGCGTATGAATATTCAATAATATTATCATCAATTATGTCATGACAATTAAATCTTTAGACAAGATAGCAACTCGTACGGCACGTGAGTAATGAATGATCATTTTTCAGCAAGCAAGTAGTGTAGATCGTATAATAAAGATTTGAACGATTCAATTTGCAGTATTGGATTGTGTTGTAATACCAGTTGAGATATTGGAATCATTTTTTATTAACTACCATACGTCTTTTAAAATCACGTCTGCCCTATAGAGCACTATTTTTTCAAGGCTGTTGATGATTTTTCGGTACAGTTATTTTGATCAATGAATTATTTTAAATGAAAAATGTTACTCATATGTATTAGTATAACATGAACACACGTAATTAGTTTGTGAATAAATTTACATAAATACTGATAAAACAGTTAATATTACTCATAGTTGTTTTTAAGTAAATCGTAATGTTCATTGATACATGTATAAATAAATTATAATTATTAATCATTTGACAATTAATCGTTTTACGATAAAACATAAACTAGTTTTCTTATTACACTTCATTAAAAAAAAATATTAATTCAACTACTAGAATTGTAGATTTATAATAAAAAATGTTTAGTGTTAATATGTTTAATATATAAAAATGTTTTATCTTCCAAAAAGAACTTACAATATTTGCAATTCCGTATTTTTCTGAAACAACAGCGGCACTTCAAACAAATGGTTTCTGTGAAATCTCCTGGAAAATATTAATGGCGTGTTTAATAGGGACACGGGTTTATAAGGATACTAAGGTTATGCATATTTTTATAGTTACAATTTTGTCAGGTGTTCCAGAGTATTGAAAATTGTTGCTGGTAAGTAGTCGATATCATTGTCTGTTAAGTCTCTGAAAACACAAACGAACTGTTTGTATCTAGGTTTTCTAAGAACAATAACATAACCAAAGAAATATAGAATTGTCCACTACATAGTGTTTGTATAAAAAATAAAAATGTACTTACAGTTCTGTCAAGTTGGTCAAATCTTTGAAAGTATCTTTGTGCAATGATATAATTCGATTTGTACTTAAATCTCTAAAATATAAAAAACTTGGTGAATCAAAATTAAAATTTGAATGTTAATGTTAGTAATTTGTCAATAAATAATACAATTTTCGGAAAAAATCTGTAGTTAATTTTATTAATTTTTCAAAAAAGCAAAAATAAATAATAAAAATCATATACGACAATTACGTATATTTAGTTATTTAAGAGCAATAATTTTATTTTAAGAAAAAATACGTTTTTTTATATTTCCTTATAATTCCGTTAGAAAACTTTTAGGCGTGACATTAAATAAATAAAAAAAGAATATTTTTGCCAAATGGAAAACTTGGTTATCTCTGTATTGTGCAACAGTAATTTTTATTTATTGAAATATTTGTGTCATAATAGAGCATATATGTAATCATCTCTTTAGCCTCTAACCCGTCTATTTGAGGTCGGTTCTACCTTATTTGACATGTTTTTATATCGGCTGTCGACCTGGCGTAACCTCATTATGGCCGAGGGAGCATGTGTACGGAAAATTTTCTGTGTTAATGTTAAAGTTCACGTACGGTCACCCATCGAGAAACCAACAGCGAACAGCGCAGTTGAACATCAGTGCTGAGGCGGCTACTGATTGATCTACTGTGCCAAAACACGAATCACAATATAGAAAAATATAATTATAAAAATTAATTTTATTAACAATGTGTGTTAGCTCGTTTACACATTATATAATAGAAAAAATCACGTTTAGTTCTTTCAGAGACAAATAGGGAATAATGATGACATGCAGTTTAAGTGTCTTAGCTAACAATGTTCTTATTTATAAGTTTCACAAATCTCTTTACAAAGTTTTCAAAACCATAAAATGTTGATGTGTACTTAGTACACTGTACAACTATAGAAATAGTTGACAAAAAAATTCTTAATGAAAATAGCTGAGTTGATCAACTCATTCTGTTATAATATGTAATTTATGTTAATCATTTTTAGCGATCATTATTTTTTACTGTAACAATTCATCAAATCATCAAATTTCCTCTGTTACCACGAGTAAGATAAAATAATCATTGCTTCTAAATAGTATAATTTTTTTTTTATTTTTGTTACCATAACCTCTTTTTGTAATTGTTAAAAATTTTGTAACGTGACTTATTTATTTCACGAAGCACTTGTTACAAATATTTCAAATGTAGTGTAGGTCCTGGTTTAATTACTTGACTCGCCTGTATGCAGAACTTGCGTAATAAAATCCGTTGAAATATTTCATAATTTGAATATTTTATTTGCAAAAATCTAACGTCACGTCAAAGTAACAGGCGGACGCGCGAATACTGTAAAACGAAAATTAAATGATACTTATTTATTTTTTTAGCTGCTATATATATTTTTATAAATCTGTGTTTGGTGACCTTGCATTACTTGTTGACGTTTAATGTATTTCTAAATGTATTATTTGTTGAGCGTATTTTTATTAAAGTTTCAGTTTCGAAACGAATTAACTACTAAAATCAATTAAACGATAATTTAGTGACCGGTTTTCCAATTGGGACAGTTTATCATTTCTATTCAAAAGTTTTTTTAACAAGCGTGGCGCAATGTGATCTGATAATGCGACATTAGATTCACGTTAAAACTTAAAATAAGTCATTGGTATTTACATTGCGTTTACATCGAACGGTACGTTTTGGTTCGACGGGATCTCGTCGAAATCCTTTCTCCAGCAGCTCAATGAGTGCGTTTCGACTCTGCACTTGCAAGGTCCTTGGTCGCATCGTCTCCACCGGCCGTGTCCCGACGATATTGTCCACACTGTAACATTAGTAGTTATATACAGTTGCTCAAAGTCAACAATATTTTAATACTCGCCAGGTTGTTCGACTGATCGGAGTCTCCTGTCAAGTCGCTGGAGTCGACCTTCGAGGACGGCACTCAGGTCTCCGCCTAACATACCTTCGCCGTCCCGTAACTTTTTGTTGATCGGCCCCACGGCGTTGGCGAGGTCGTCGCGCATTCGGACATAAGCTTCACAAGCGTTCAACATACAAACGTCCACACGAATTGCCGACTTGTTTTTGTTCGTTAAATGATCAGCACTGGCAACTAATTCGGCTGCCGCAATCGCAGATAACGGTGACATTGTGCGATTGTTATCGGCTACTGTTGCTGCTTTTGCCCATTTTAGTGATAATAGCATAGTAATTACTAACACTCGCCAAGCGTCAGTCAACCACATCGTTAGTGTTTGAAAAATGCATTAATTAATAAAGAGCCTTCAAAAAAAAAAAATTTATACTCTCCCGAAAAAAGTATTGAAATAAGAACACATTTGTTATAAAAAATAGGACACGCGAACAATGGAGAAGTTGGATCAGTAATTGATTTAAACATTTTTCAATGTCATTGATGCTTTTGTTTACTCATTAAGTGTTTCATTAAAGTAATTGTTATATTCCATTCATCTAGTCTGCTCAGGACGTCCTGCTTAAGAATACACCAGAATTAATATACACGATTTTAAAATTAATTAAACATATTCATTGAAAATACTTGACATTTGTTAATTTGTAAAAAATAATAACAAATATTTCAAAAATATTATATCATTAAATATGTTATCATCAATTCTAATTTGAATATTGCATAAAAAAAATGTCTATGTAATGTATGCAAACTATATTTCTTCTTATACCGAACAGATGCACTCTACTTGTAAAATAAGATTGCTTGTTTAGATAGTACTCTACGTGTTAGAAAAATTTCTTAATATTCATAGACGTTTATTTGACTTGTGTAAATTGCAACGATTTTTTCAATTGGCCTTCTTATATTAAAAAATAAATTTATATTCATTAGAACAATTAAATTTACAAGATTTATTTATTAAAGCCCAATAATAGTTAATAATAAGTTAAAAAATAATGTGACGAGCTGAACAAAATTAAAATGTATTCAAATTTAATTTGTTTTGCTTTATTTGTTACATAAGTCATTTTATATTAGATTATTCTAATACCCTTAATAATTTTATTAACTTATTTAATTGGTTGGGTTGGATACTTATTTTTAAGTGTGTGAAGGTTATTTTAAGGGTAACTTAAAACCTGAATTGATAGAAGTGTTTGTTTTGTTTCAAGTTGAATATCTGTGTTTAAAATACTAGCTTCATATTTAATTATTGTTATGAATAAGAGTGAGATGTTTTATTTTTAAATAATTTGATAATATTGACCCGTAGTTCAGTACTGCTACAACTAGAAAGATTAAGTATGTTATAATTATAAAAAATAACTATTATATGTTTGTGTTACAACTTACTCTCACCAATCATAATATTTAATAAAAAAAAAAAATCACGATTTAAATGGTTTTTCGATAATGTGAACTTTACTGAGAGCTAAAATAAATATTATAAAAGAAGACAACGTTGTCTATCTATTGTTATTAAAAAACTTTCATGATTATTTAACGAGTAACTGATACAAATATAAAAAGTAAAACTAAATCCGTTTCTTTACTAAAAATATAATTTATCATATTTCTACATAAATCTATTAATTATAAGATGTTGAATATGAATAAATAGATCACTTATTTTTGTGATAATCAACTATTTATTTCTCAATAAATCTAATGAAAGTTGTTCCGTAAGTATAATTATCATTTAACATTGATAATTTTATAACTTGAACGCTACGATGACATAAAATGTGTCATAAAAATAAATAAATCGTTATAAATATGCAGATTGTTTGAATAAAAAACTAGCTAATAAAATATTTTTTAATTAGGAAATTCTAAACTAATAGTACATTATTATTGTTCTCAATTAAAATATTAGACTGATTTTATTAAACATCTAAGGTGTTACTGATTTAATTTCTTAGTATCTTTTCTCTTTTCTTTTTGAAGCCTGAGTTCAAGAAAAATAACCATTTGATGGTTTTAAACATGAATCTTGAAAAAATAAAATGAAATAAATAAATAATATAAATGTATTAAGAGCTAAATAATTAATAAGTCTAAAGAATACCAACCCTAATACTCAAGAAACTTTAATCGAGAATATTTATATAAATTTATAATTTTTGATTTAATACAGAGTGTGTTAGATTTAATTAGTTATAGGGTATGTAGTGAGGTTGGGGGGTAGAGCTTGTACTGATGTACGAATACATAAATCACGTTCCATATCCACTCTATATATTAAAATGCTTGTAACTAAATGAGTACTTGTTTTAAAATCGAAATTTATTGTAAAAAGGGCTAAAAAATGATATTATGAAATTATGAAAAAAAAATTTTTATACATATTAGTTTATTATTAATAATGATAAATAATCAAAATATCCATTCAACCTATTTTAAAGAGGAAAAAATTATTAAAAAAAAATTTTTTTAAATATTTATCATAAGTTATGAGCATTGTCTGTTAGGTCTGAGACACTCTGTATATTCGTCTCTATATAACTAGTTGTTCATAGAGTACTACCTAATTCGAAACTAATTATCATTTAGTCACATAATTACACACAATACAGTAGATCGATTACCATAGAAGGCTGCAGACTTGTATCAAAACTATGCGAATAAGAGAACGTATAGTTATTTGTAATCTTTGGGTACAAGTTTAGCGCAAAAATGTCGAGGATTACATGACACTTTTGATTGACTACTCAACTCACAATTTTGTTTCATAAATGATGTATTTTTCTGTTTAAATTTGTATTCTTATTTTTAAAAATTCTCTCATATTCTTAAATGTAATTATAAAAAAGTTATAATACTAATATACATGAAAATATAATATTTAAATGTCTACTTAAAAACATAAAATCAGTTAATTTTTGTTTACAATTTATTGTTATCATTAAAACTGATAACTTGGTATATATAGATAGTGTGTTATTAGCTTCGATGCGAAGCTGAGAAGGTATTAATTTTACTATGATGTGTTTTTTTATTTATTTATTTTTTTTTGTGTCTGTTACCACTTTTTCTCAGCTCTCACTGGACCGATTTCTTTCAACAATACGTCAAAAGATCACAAATCGTATCTAGTTGGAGACATTACCCTCATAAATTGAAAAAATTTCCCTCGTTCCCCGTAAATGGGGGAAATCTCCAAAAAAATTACAAATTTAAAAATCGCTACTTTTTGAAATTTTTTTTAAAAATGAACAAATCAACATAATTTTTTTTTGATAGATGCATAATGTCTTTACTTATCATTTGATGTATTTTTTTTATAAATTTGACACTTAACCTGCCCATAGCGGAGGATTTAAAATGACAACTTTTTCACAAAAATTTAACTTTTTCAACTCAACTTTTGAAAGTGTTCCGGAAGGTCTGACACTTTTATATATATCTTAAATTAAAGCTAATGTAATGTACTTTATTGTGAAAAAAAAAAATTTTTACCTCGGACTTGTCTTCGTGGTGAAAATGGCTACCGAATGCAATTTTTGTGTGATAATTCTCGATTTTATTTTTTACATTTTTAACTTTATAATGCTATAACTTATTGAAAAGTGTATGGATCAACACAATTTTTTTATGAGAAATAATATTTTTTAATAACCCCTTTTTTGTTCGGCATACTTTATCTTAATCAGGATATTAATAAGGAACTAGCAGATCATGTAGCTATTGGAATAATACACCAATTTTTTTAAAATTAAACACTATCTAAAGATTTGCATCGAAGCGTTTTATTTTGATAGTGATTTTAATCACTGTCAGATATCATTATACTTGATCCAACTATGCCACGTCACCACTGTTCGGCGACCCCCCTGTGCTGGGTTTTTTTTTAATGATACTATAGTTGTGACGTTGATACTATGGATTAAATAACTACTATAGTTGATTAAGTAATTAATATGGCCTATGTATTACGTTCATAACAATATTTAGTAACCAGTAATTATTATAATAACACATTGTATCATGTTTACACACTACAAGAAGTTAATCTATTCCACACGGATAAGGATGAATTTACTGAGTGAACTGATTCAAACGCTATCAATCTATGTCCTGCAAAGAGCTCAATGTTTGAATATTTCAAAATTGTTGGGTTTGTATTATGCAAGATGCTCCAATAAAATTTAGGCTGCTTTATTAACCAATTATTTCTGGTTTGTTTTGCTGTTAAAAGAATTTGAATAGTTATTTAATATTTGCGAGCAAATTTATCCAAATAAACAATAAGGTGAATCTAAATATGTTATTACATACTTATAATTAAGTCACTGGTAAAATATTTGACCTGGGCCAATCACTTTAATTATATAACTGTGGTATTCATAGTGTACTTCAAGAGTAATGATATATTTCATGGTTAAAATTTAAAGTTTTAGAACTAATATATGCTTTAGCAAGCGCATATTTAGACATTTTTTTATAGTTTTATGATAAATATTATTTTTTATGACATTTTTTTTTTGCTCAAAAACCTTCTAACGTTTTAACGTTTTCGGTTAATGATTTGCATTTTTTAAATCAAAGCAGTGTTATTTTGTTTGTAAAATTAATCTATTTTAATCACGTTATAGTAAATGTTTAATTAATTTTACATTGAAAAATTTCATTTATGTAAAGGATATTTTATTTACGATGTTTCTTATATATCGCTAACGAAAATAAATAAGCTATATTAATGGTTTTCCAAGTAATATTTACATTTTTACATTAAAAACTATTTTTGCTTCTCAAATGCCCAATAATTCTAATAATTGTGTATCGTCTAAAAGATTGGTAGTATACATTTTACTTGGAAGGTGTTAATTTACGTATTTCTTAAATTTAAATTATTATGTAACTTAACGTATATAAAATTTTAATATGTATCATTTATAAGATATATAAATAATTTTTTTTTTTTAAGGCTTAATCCAGGCCATTTAGGCTCATTGTCGCTTCCGCTATCTCCTTTCATGCTTCTCTATGTACTGCCAGTACTTCTCCGTTCCGTACTCCTAGCATTTTGAGGTCTTCTTTGACTTGTCCCATCTCAATTCAATTTCCCATTTAAATTTAAGAAATATGTAATTATACTTAATATATAAATACTACACAGAAGCGCTGAGAAATAGTGGCCCATACGTCATAGGTACTTCCATGTGCCTTTAACATAGACGGAATATTCTTACAAGATTGTTTTAATGGTATTAAAATAGATTGTATGTATATAATTGTCAAAAGCATATTAATTATAGTATATTGTTAAAAATACACTTAGGAACACGTGGACTTGCATTCATTTAAAGCTGCACATAAGAATTCTAAGAAGTAGGGGCCACATGTCAGTCTGGTTTAGTATGATTTAAACGTATATCAAAATGTTTTTAAAATCTAATTTTGTTAAGTTCAGATGGAGATTTAAAAAAGTCCATATCGATTATATGTACCTAAAATTATACATTAATATAATAGAGAATATTTATGATGG